GCACCATGCAATACTGGGGATGAACCCTGGCCCCTGTGCTTGTCAAAGCAGGTGCTTAGTCTGCTGAGCTATCTTGCTGACCCCAAAGTTAAATATTTTATTTGCCCCAAACACAGCTAAAGATGGAACAAATTAAATAGTGGGTCATTCTCTGCTTCAGATATCTTCCTTTAACAGACAGTGTATCAATTCAAAGGATTTTTACACCTGCAATAAAATTCATTAACTGTTATTTCTTATGAAGTTTGTATTCCAAAAGTTTTTAAAGCTTGTCATTTTGTCTGACAGTCCTTTCTAATTTCCGCTGGTATAAATCAATTTCAATTTATTAGCTTGGTACAAAGGAACTGCAGTAAGTTTTTAATAATAATTATCATTATCACTGATTAAAGTTATATTGTTCAGGCCAGATGGAGTCCTTTTCCTGTCAGCTAGAATGAGCTTGCATTATGTGATTGTAATGTGTTTAGATCTAAATAAACAGATGGCAGAGTGACAGGATATTATACACTGGTGATGTCAGTCCCGGGCTCTCACAAACAGAATTGTTTTAAATAAACTTTAATAGCAAGGATCCTCATACTTTTAAACCAGTAATGAGGAGGGAGCTCAAACATGTAACTTGGGGATACTAGTGCTCAGGTCCGAGAGGAAGTTGTCGTTGTGGCTGGAGGTCCCCTGTCTGCTGAGCATCGCTGGAACCATGAGAGCACCTGTCGCTGCAGATTCACTCAGGCCACTTCACTGGGGGAGAGCTCTCCAAGCCGAGGATGTTCTAAGCCCAAATTGAAAAACATGAGGCCAAGTAAAATGGAAATATTTCATATAGGTATTTGATAACTTCACAGTGGTTCAACTTTGCTAAATGTAAAATTTGCAGTTAACATAAAAATCCACAGAGGTTTAATAGTGAACTTGGTGTAGAAAAGCTTTGGCCTTTACTAGGTCTTTGTGTCTATGTTTTCTTCTAAACCATATGCTGTATGTGAAAATCTAGCCGGAAATTTCAAGAAAATTATTTCACATAATTTCTAGCTTATACTTTAGTTTTTGAGTCCTTGTGAGAATTTATGGAACAACTATCATTGTTGAGGCCACTTTCCATAAAAGTCCGTGTTAGATAAAGATGCTACTGCAGAGACAAGTGTGGTGCTACACTCATGTTATTTGAACACTCCTGGAAGGAGAGGGAGGAGGATTGCAAATTAGAGGCCAGCCTAGGCAAGTTAGCAAGAGGCTGAGCCAAAGTAAGGTGTAAGAGAACAGGTCAAAGATGGAGCTCAATGCAAAGGTTCTGGTTTTAATCCCCAATGTCAAAAAATTTTTAAAAAGAAAGAAAGAAGAAAAGAAAAATGAATATGGTACTCTAAAAATTAAAGGCCAGCATATAAAAATGGTTTTAATATCAATAACATTTTGACAGCATGTATTAAATGCCTGAAATTGAACTTCTAAAAATTAATTCCCTCTTACAGTGTTGTACTTCAGTTTTTTATCTGATGTTTGTCATATATTTAGAAGAATGCAATCTTACTTTTACAAATTCAGTTCTTTCATTTTTATCTATTGCAATCAATCTGAAAACTTTAGAAATTATAGCAAATAGAATAGACCAGTGGAAAAATTGCTCAATTAAATGAAACTTATCAATTAATATACCTGTTTAATTCTAAATAATTTTACACATTTATTTATTTTCTTTTTATATAAAATGTTGAGTGGATTTTGAATACCAGCAGACTGTGCTCCAGTTTTGCATGTGTGGACTCTCAGGAGTTGCTACTTAAATGAGCATTTTATGAACTGTAGCTTAGCTCTAGTGTGGCATAAAAATTCCTGTAAAGGGTAAAAATATTCCCTCTAAGAAGTGACTTCTCATGTGTAAACATAAGAAGTATATAATTCTTTATGCCTATTTTTTAAAATATATTCTAATTTTTAAATGTTTTTTCATCATATTCTATAGGGACGTAAAGTTCAATGTATCAATACTTGATGAAAAATACCTGTTCCATGTTATGCCTAAGATGTTTGATATTCAGACAGATAGTGAGGTTAA